TTTGGGATTGCAACTTGAGTACGTGAATAATGGAATCCTTGTGCATCAAAAGGCATATACTGAAAAAGTACTCAAGAGATTCAATATGGACCAGGCCCACCCATTGAGCAGCCCAATGGTGGTGAGAAGCCTCGGATTGGATAGTGATCCATTCGGTCCAAAGAAGGATGAGGAAGAAGTTCTCGGTCCTGAAGTGCCATACCTCAGTGCCATAGGAGCGTTAATGTACTTGGCTAGCCACACTAGACCAGACATTTGTTTTGCCGTGAACCTCCTATCGAGATTTAGCTCATGTCCGACCCAAAGGCACTGGAACGGGATTAAGCATCTTTTACGTTATTTACAAGGAACTGTTGATTTGGGTCTATTTTATGCTAACCATAACAAAGAAGGTTTAGTTGGTTTTGCTGATGCAGGTTATCAATCAGATCCGCATAATGGTAAGTCACAAACAGGTTATGTATTCACACACGGAGGAACCGCGATTTCATGGCGTTCAATGAAGCAAACCATCTCAGCCACTTCATCCAATCACGCGGAGATCTTAGCGATACACGAGGCCAGCCGAGAGTGTGTATGGTTGCGGTCGATGACTCAACACATACGGTCCAGTTGTGGCATGGACGAAGAGAAGGAACCAACGATCATGTACGAGGACAATGCGGCCTGCATCGCTCAGCTCAAAGACGGCTACATCAAGGGAGATCGGACGAAGCACATTCTAACAAAGTTCTTCTTCACGCATGACTTGCAAAGGGATGGAGAAGTTCGAGTGGTACAAGTTCGATCCAGCGACAACTCAGCCGATCTCTTCACCAAGGCGCTACCAACATCGACATTAAGGAAGCTCACGCATCAAATTGGAATGCGGAGACTTAAGGACTTGCAGGGATGACCAAAACAGGGGGAGTAATACGTGCTGTACTCTTTTTCCTTAACCATGGTTTTATCCCAATGGGTTTTCCTGGTAAGGTTTTAATGAGGCAGCATCCCCGAGCGTATTACTGAGATCCTTTGGCATCTACACGGTTATGTCATCCAAGGGGGAGTGTTATAGACCGCATGGTCGGATGGACTCCATAACCGTTGGGCCTAATCCATATTCTAGAAGGCCCATGTCCATATTCTTATGATTCTCCTTATGATGGTCTAATTTATCTTAGTGGGCTTTTGGGCTTTAGGGTTTACTAGCCCAATGGGGATTTGTCTCCCCTCATCATGTATAAATATGTAACGAACTCCATTCATTAATACTAATAAGAACAACAAGTTCTATAACAATTTTAAGTTTTTTTTTTTTTTTTTGTCAAAATGGTTGTACTCGTGCACAACGTCTCAGGCAAGTAATCTGCACATGTTATTGTTGATATTAGGGCTTTCTGTAAAAGGCTCCGGTATTTTAAAAGAGTTAGCAATGCTAGCTTTATTCCTCCATTAACACACATTATTTAATAAATATACGTGTTTCCCACTGCATAAATCATTACAAAAATCAGATCGTGAATATATTACTATGCCTAATCGGCGACTAGATCCAGTAATTTACCATGACAGAGAGATTTACCAGCGAAGTCACTGATGGCCTGGGAGACATTGCTCAACATGGAGCTATCGAGAAAATTAGAGACGCTTTGTCAAATTATGATTACATCTGTGGTGCATGCGTCTATACAAAAGTTTTTTTTTTCAAAAAATCCCTAGGCGACTGATTAAGAGGTGGTACTAGCCAAATAATTAGGGTTTTACTAGCCAATATGTACTATCATAAAATCTTGTCATCATAAGATACGCCCTAAATCCTAATAAACAAAAGTTTCTCCAGTTTATTGGGATTGGTTTGTTTTTGAGACAAGTCTCTAATTTTCTCGAAACGACGGAAGTACGGAACCATGTCTCACGTGTATCATCCTCACAGGGCCGGTGTAAGCGCCGGTAAGATCCCTCTTTCTCTTGCTCGAAATTGTTTGGTCTGTTTTGATAGTTTGCCATATTTTGATAGTAAAAGATTTCATCTGAATTTTTGATCTGTCGTCATATAGTAAAAATAATTTAATGGATTGTTTTCCGGTGGCAGAGGGTAACACAGGTGTGTTCTGGGACGTGGTGGATTTCCCAATCCCTGAATGTGATCCTTATTTGATTTCTAAGAAAATAAAATCAGCTCTTGAGGATAAAGGTTGTTATAATGGTCCTGTCTCAATCCGGTTGTACCAAGATGAGAAAAACCTACTCCCCAAAGAATTGATAGATAGATATGAGTCTGCCGGAATCAGTATCAATTTCGTACCCGAAGGTGAATGAATTCCTTTACCTAATATATATATAAATCCCTCTCTTTTATGCCTCTTATGTGATCTAGATCTCGGTTGATATGTAGTTGCTGAGGCGTATGGATATGCGAGAGTTCATAAGATGTTAGTGGACATTCTTTTGTGGGTACTGGACAGTCCTAACCTTTCCAATTTGATTATACTCTCAAAAAACTTCAAAGAAGAGCAGGCCACGGACGTGGAGGTCCCAACCAGCTAAGAGACATAACTGTTTCCAATCTCCGTATCAGATCTTGGGTCTCTGTTTCAGTTCTCCAATTAAGATAAGTGCTATTTATTTATTATGCTTTATATACATGATCCAATTAAAGTTTGATAAGATAAAATTTGCATGAAAATTGGCACATGTGATTTGATTTATGATTGGAGAATTAATTGAGAAGCTAGTGAATGGAAAGATGTTTAATGGCATGATAGACTGAATGTTTTAATATAAACCCTAGGTTAAACCGAAAATAAACCGAAACCCTAAATCCTAGGTTAAATCGGTTTAATAAACCCTAAGTCACGGTTTAAGATCAAGTTTCCAGAAATAGAAAGTTTCCAGAAATAGAAAGTTCCATATAAGGAAAATTTACAGAAATAGAAAGTTTCGTAAAATAGCAAGTTTTCCAAAATGGAAAGTTACCAAAATAGGAAACCCCTTCATAAGGAAATATTCCAAAACCCTAAAGTACATAATTGTTTAGGATTTCTTTCTAGATGAGAAATAGAAATTTTCCATAAAAGGAAAGTTCCATATAAGAAAAGTTTCCATAAATAGAAAGTTCCATACATAAAACCGAAATCCTAGCAAAAACCCTAGTACTATAAATCGCGGATGCTAAAACCCTAAAACTTAACCGCGAAATCCTAATATCCTAATCTAGTATGATCCGATTGTTTGGTTGTTGCATACTAGATCAATCTTCTAGGGTTGATTTCATCCATATATATATAACATGATTGTTTAGAAAACACTTGCTGAAGACAAGCATGGTTCGGTCTTAACGCATGACTTGATCTAACCGATTACATGAGTTCTCATTTAACTCTATATATTGTAGATGTCAGAAATCAACTATTATGAATGCACGACACTCAATGCCTCTGGTGACAATTATTTACAATGGACTTTGGACACTGAGATTGTCCTAAAGAAAAAAGGGCTTGGTGAATCTATTGTGCAAGGAAACAATGTCACCAGAAGAGAAAGATATAAGGCGATTACTAAGATACGCCATCACCTCAATGAGAGTCTCAAAATCAGTACCTCACTATTAAGAATCCTCTGGACCTCAGAACAGAGTTGAAAAAAAAAAAAAAAAAAAAAAAAAATCAATATAACCACAAAAAAAACGGTGCTATTACCCAAAAGCCCGATTCGATCGGGAGAATCTCAGATTCCAGGAATTCAAATCCATGAATGAGTATAACTCAGCACTATTAAAAATAGTGTCAATACTGAGATTCCGTGGTGAGGAAGTTACTGAGAATGACTTGCTAGAGAAAGCATTCTCGACCTTTCACACAAACAATATATTTCCTCAGCAACAATATCATGAAAAAGGTTTTTACCACATATGCAAGTCTAAATTCTTGTTTTGCTACTTGCTGAGCAAAATAATGAGTTATAAATAGTGAAATGAGACCTCCTGGTCCTACCCCATTATCAGAAGCCCATTGGGCTGAAGAGCCTAAAGAGCCTAAAGAGACTAAAGAGTCTAACCACGTCCAAAGAGATAAGTATCATGGCCACAGTCATGGTAAATGGAATGAACGTGGTAGAAGTGGCAATTATAATTTATATGATCAAGGAAACCATTCATATGGTTAAGGCCGCCGACCCGACTTTGGTCGTAATCGAGGTAGAGGCCACGGTATACCCAAACCACAACACTCAAATAAACTTGTTTGCCACTGATGAGGAATGGGGAAACCATTGGACTAAGACGTGCAGGACACCTAAGCATCTCGTTGATCTCTATCAAGAGAGTTTGAAAAGAATCTGAAGCTCATTTAGTTCATCATGATGGTGAAGAAGATTTCGACCATGAGATAGATGACTATGAGAATTCAATAAACGAAATATCTAAAGACATGGTTCATTAGCCAAATTGCGGGTATAGCTAAATTTTAATGAGGCAACATTCCCCAGCGCATTATAGAGATCCCGGTTTAGTATCGGGCACGGTTATGTCTTTCAAAGGAGAGTGTTATAAACCATATAGATGGACTCCATAACCGGCCCATGGCCCATTAGAGTTTTACCTTATTATCTGTATCCTGCTATTATCCTTGTATATATATCTCTTATTCTATTAATGAAAGACACAGTTCACAACACATTCAAGTTTTTAAAAAAATTAAAATCTACTACAAAAACTAAAAACCCAAAAATCAAAAACCAAAAAAGTACAATCTAAAAACCATTTAAAAACTCACAACCTACATTTAAACGTACCTGCTTGTAGATTATGCCATCTCATATCACCATAATTATTTTGCCTCCCCATGTTGTGTGTTTTAAAATAATCCATATGCCACTATGCCAGTATCATCATGTGTCATCTTCACTAATTCTCTAAAACCCTAGCACTTTCTTGAAAAGATATAGAAATTGTCGTTTTTCCCAAGTCCCCACAATTCTCTATGGAATATGCTGATTCGGTTCTTCTATAGGACAGCATCGAGTTTTCCATTATCAGCCGTTTCTTATACTGAAAAGAGATCACGACAACAGGGCCAAACTGATATCTGCAAGGCCCAGCCCAATCAGATATTACCTGATCTGATCACCCTAATTTCAGATCTGCGAGTTTCAGATCTGCAGCCGCAGAAGTCTTTAATTTTCTCGCTCTCCGTCGAAACTCGAAACCATGTCTCCCGACGAAACCATGTCTCCCGACGAAACCATGTCTCGAGTGTGTCATCCTTTCAGGGCCGGTGTGCGCGCCGGTAAGATCCCTCTTTGTCTTGCTCGAAATTGTTTGGTCTCTATATTTTGATAGGAAAAGATTTGATCTGTCGTCATATAGTAAAAATAATTTAATGGATTGTTTTCCGGTGGCAGAGCGTAACACAGGAGTGTTCTGGGACGTGGTGGATTTCCCAATCCCTGAATGTGATCCTTATTTGATTTCTAAGAAAATAAAATCAGCTCTTGAGGATAAGGGTTGTTATAATGGTCCTGTCTCAATCCGGTTGTACCAAGATGAGAAAAACCTACTCCCCAAAGAATTGATAGATAGATATGAGGCTGCCGGAATCAGTATCAATTTCGTACCCGAAGGTGAGTGAATTCCTTTACCTAATATATATATAAATCCCTCTCTTTTATGCCTCTTATGTGATCTAGATCTCGGTTGATATGTAGTTGCTGAGGCGTATGGATATGCGAGAGTTCATAAGATGTTAGTGGACATTCTTTTGTGGGTACTGGACAGTCCTCCTGACCTTTCCAATTTGATTATACTCTCAAAAAACTTCAAAGAAGAGCAGGCCACGGGCGTCCTATTCGGTTTGCATTTGAGCGGTATGAAAGTTCTCTCAGCAGAGCCTTTATCAGAATGGATACCTTTTACTGAAAGCTCAGCTTGGCTTTGGAGTAGGCTTTGTGAAAGCCTATCATCAGATGGAGGCGTTAGAAAGCAAATCTGAAGAGAGGCTAGTGTTTAGGGTTTAATGTTTTATGTTATAATGATGCACTCTGTGATTGATAATCTTTGGTTTGATCATTTATGGGATTAAGAGTAAACGCATATGTATGTGTCGTTTTGTTATTTTGATGCTGTTTTATAACTATGTGAAGTGATATGTGTAGCTAATGTTATGGTAAATTGCTCGATGGCAGTATCCTGAGATTCACTTTAAAGTACATTGCGGACGCTGCAAAATAACTGGCCGGCAAACAAAACTATGAGGATCTGTCTTGTTTAAGTGGCCAAACAAAAATGTCTGCATGAGAATAGATTGGCCAAATTCTCACTTTAGAGTCTGCATGCGCCTAATTAAGCACAATGAGACATTTTGCATCTAATGGATTGAGCAATCTATTCTCATGCATGTTTGAAGCATCAACCATTAGATGCAAAATATCTCATTGTGCTTAGGATCTGGATTATCTTTGCATATCCATTATGCAATAGATGAAGAACTCACCAAGTAAACCTTTTGGCTACGTACCTTGTGGGACTGATTCTCTTGTTCTTTATATGATTCTATATATTTATAAACAAGTCATTTATTCTACTAACGGTCGCTCTCTTTTGCAGACTCTTTCTACGACTTTATCTATGGGTGCTGATGAATATGAGTTTGGTTCCTTGGCAATGATTGTTATAGGTTGTGTTATGGCTTTTATTGCCACACTAATAATGTCCTAGTTGGTGCTGCATATCAAGCTCGTAACTTCAACAAGACTTAAACATTCCCAAGAACTTGGGATGAGCAACAACACTCGAATTAAGGAACTATTAATCTATTTATACATACAATATGAAGAATTTAATAATGGTGCCACCCACCACTGTGATAAACCATTCCCCAGAATCTTGGGATCATATATATGCAGTTTAAAGACATTAGCTAAGAATCATTCAAGGGGTTGGAGATGATAGGGTTAGTTTCTAAAGAACTAACCACGCCACCACGACCACGGGGACCTCGTCCTCTATACACTGGCGCTACAACATCCGTCCTTGAATTATAGCAATAGCCACAGTATCTCGGGTATTGCGTTCCGCATTGGGGGAAAGGGTTTTCTTGACATTTAACTAGTAGGCTCCGAGGATCTTGTAAGACAATATTGAGATTATCATACTTTTTCAAGACTTCAAGAACACTTACGACCTGCTTGTCTTGGAGACATCGATCGCTAGGTTTTAATCGGTCCTAATCCTATCATAACTAATAACTGATAAATGCAAGGCCCAGCCCACTGAAAAGAGATGTAAACCCTAATAAACAAAAGTTTCTCTGGGATTGGTTTGTTTTTGAGAATTTTTGCGCTCGCCGTTGAAACTCTGAAACCATGTCTTCCAACGAAGACGACATGTCTCACGTGTATTATCCTTACTGGGCCGATATATACGCCAGTAAGATCCGTCTATGTCTTCATCGAAACTGTTTGGTCTATCTTTTGTTAAATTTAAGATTTCATCTGAATTCTTGATCTTTCATATAGTAAATTTTTTTTTAATGGATTGCATTGATTTTTGATTACATGGTGTCTCCGGTGGCAGAGGGTAACACAGGTGTGTTCTGGGACGTGGTGGATTTTCCAATCCCTGAATGTGATCCTGATATGATCTCTAAGAAGATAAAATCAGCTCTTGAGGATAAGGGTTGTTATAATGGTCCTGTCTCAATCCGGTTGTACCAAGATGAGAAAAACATCATCCCAACGAAGAAACAAGAATTGATTGACAAATATGAGGCTGCCGGAATCAGTATCAATTTCGTACCCGAAGGTGAATGAATTCCTCCTTTACCTAATATATATAAGACAATTCCTCTCTTTTATATATATATACACACATATGTCTCTTATGTAATCTAGATCTCTGTTGATATGTAGTTGCCGAGGCGTATATTCATGCGAGAGTTCATAAGATGTTAGTGGACATTCTTTTCTGGGCACTGGACAATCCTGCACACTCCAATTTGATTGTACTCTCAAAAAACCTCAAAGACAACGAGACGGTCAGTAATCTTCAGGCTTTACATTGGTCAGGTACCAATGTTCTCTTAGCCGAGTCTGTATCTGAAGATCTACCTTTTACTGAAAGCTCAGCTTGGCTTTGGAGTAGGCTTTGTGAAAGCCTATCATCAGATGGAGCCGGAAGCTCACAAGATACTACTGTTGCTGTTTACAAGCTAGAAAGCAAATCTGAAGAGGAGGCTAGTGTTTAGGGTTTTATGTTATAATGATGCACTCTGTGATTGATTTATCTTTGGTTTGATCATTTACGGGACTAAGAGTAAACGCATGTATGTGTCGTTTGTTATTCTGATGCTGTTTATAACTATATATGTGAAGTGATGATATGTGTAGTCAGTCTAGCTAGTTGATTGCTCGATGGCAGTATTTATTGCAAGGATCCTGAGATTCACTAAAAAAATTAGTATATAATTAATTACTTTGGCCCTGTTTTATTAAAGAGTTGCATTTTCCGTAGGCTCTCTTCCGCTTTGGTGGGAAGGGTTTACAAGACATTGATGTAATAGGCTCGCAGGATCTTGGAAGACAATATTGTAATTACCTTTCTTTCTCAAAGCTTGAACAACACTTGCGACCTGATTCTCTTCTTTGATGTTACTTGAGAGTATAATCAAATTGGATGGTCTACCACAGTTGCGCCGTGCCCAATCAAGAATTCTCAGTATCATTACTTGAACAATCGCAGATTCTGCAATAGTACGTATACCAATCAATCAAGACGTAAAAAAACAAAAAAAGGACGAGAAAAGAGCACATTCATTCACACCTTTGGGTAAGGGAATGGGCCAGATTCGGCTGCCTATATACTTATCTATCAAATCTTTGGAGAGGGCATTCTCATCACCAACGAAGAATGCACGTATTTGCCAATGACCTTGATAACCCTTTTCACAAAGAGCGGATTTGATACTACGATAAATCAAAACAGGATCGTGTTCATAAAGGCTTGACGAATCCTTGAAGTCCCAGAAGATGTCTGTGTCTTTCCCTGTGACAGATGGACGACTTGATCGATAAGATAAAATATAATCAATCAATATACAGACAAACAATATGGAGACCTGTCCTTACAAGCGAATCTACTCTGGGAGATACTGCTGAACATGTTTTCAGCGGAGCTATTGACAAATTTAGAGACGCCGGATGAGAGACGACGACGCCTTTGTCCGCGGTATCCATGCTTGCTTTTGTCGACAGGGATTTCGTCAACACAGTTATTGCTTTTGTCGACGTCAACACGTTTATTGGTTTTGTGGACAGGGACTCCAACACATTTATCTAATAGGCTCCTAGGATCTTGGATGACAATATTGTAATTACCTTTCTTTTTAAAGGCTTCAACAACACTTGTAAACTGCTTGTCTTCTTTCATGTTTTCTGAGAGAATAATCAAAGTTGATCGGTTATTTTGCTCTCTCAGTGCCCAGGTAAGACTTGACACTGACATACTGTGAACTCTCGCATGTTTATTTCCTGGAATATATATATAGTTCATCAACGGAGATCATTATTTAGATCAAATTTGAGCAAACAAAAAAAAAAAAGAGAAAGAAAAAAAAGAAAATTCAACCTTGGGGAACGAGTGTCGTAGAGATTCCGGCGCTTTCATATATATCTCTCAAAGTTTTGGGGATATTATCATCAACGACCGCCCAGATGTTCGATAAACCACTAAAAAAACCCTGATCATCAAGATCGGACATGATATTCTTCTTAACCAATTCAGGATCTAGACGATTAAGGATTGATAAATCCTCTACGTCCCACATGACCATTACCCATCCGCCTGCCAGGTTTAACATAACAAAATCAAAAAATTCGGATTTGATAACATCCATATTAAAATTAATTAGATCCAAAATATATATATGGTTGAATAGAGAGACAATATAGACGAACAATTTCGAGCAGACAGACAAACAATTTCGAGCAAAACTGAGAGAGATCTTACGGTCGAATGTAGAGCTATCCATTGAGACGCCGGATCCGATGAATGAGAGGCACTTTGAAAAATTAGGGCGCTGCATGGCATGCATCTATATAATAAACACAGAGACTATCTTATTGGGCTGGTGACAAAAAATCTTATTGTGCTGGGCCTGACAGATTAATCTGTGTCTTTTTTCTTTTTCTTTTTTAAATACTGATTTTATAGCAATACTCAAGAACATGCTTGCTACATGTTTCTCATTTTCAATCTAAAAATGCATGATTAAATAGGGAAAGAGGAAGATTTGGCTGCAATAAGATCTGCACGATCATTAACTTCTCTTTGTTGGCTCGAGATTCCTTCGTCGTGTGGTCAAGAATAGATACCCACTGTGTAACTGCTTAGTCTTGGTCAGAGCGAGTCTGATTCAAAGACAACCTCTGTAAAAGCCAAGATTGTCTAAGCACCGTACTGCCCACGAAAGAGCTGTAGCTTCAGCAATTCTAAACTGGAAAGTAGCAGATGAGAACACTTACATTTTATAAAACTGAACCCAAGGGGCACACTTCAAACATTTTCTACTCTGACAAAACTAAGAACACAAATTACCAACTTTTGGCCTCTCTACAAGAGCTCTCCACTCTTCCTAAATTGACACATCTTCTTAAAGCTTGAAAATCTCAGAAAAAATCGATTACAATTTACACAACTTACAATATCGTCAAATTTTGGGATTTTTCGGGTAAAAATTATTAGTTGAAGTTGAAGCTAGCAGTGCGGCTCCATCGCCCTTTCAAGTATTCCTCAACAGAGATACTGCTAGCTTCAGGGCTGCTATCAGAAGCCGCATCATCTTCCAAATCAAGCAATGCAAGGTTTATGTGTGATTCTATATTTGTCAAATATGCGCTTTCGTCTTCTGAGGCTCTCACTTGTTGCTTTCCCCACTCTGTTGCTTCTTCGTCCCCTTGTAAGATCTTTAGGACCTGAGGTTGAAATAATGATATATCCCAAAAGAAAAGAGCAATGAGAAGCAAAGCATAAGGATCCATAGCAAACCAAGGAGATAAATGATACGTATGCTTACGAGGCCAATTTGCGGACGTTCATGAGGTGTGCGTTTGATGCATAGCGTGGCAGCTAACAATAGTTTCTCGACTAGATCGTTACTGTTATCATTTTCTAGACTGGGATCCAGTAACTGAGCAAACTTTCCACTCTCTAGAATTGGGTTTGCCTGGGAAAAAGGAAGTCATTTCATATAATTTGATTGCAATAGACATGGAAGAGTAACATTGCTTCCTATAATTTGATCGCAATGGCAAATTGGCAGAATAACAGTATGAAGTAGAAAATGTGGACTATTATGCTTACCCATAAGACAAGGCTCTCCTGGCCTTTAGACTGGTCGATGCAGATTGGTTTTCTACCCGATAGGAGCTCGAGCAATACAACACCAAAAGCATAGACATCAATCTTGTCGGTTACTTTACCGTGCATGAAGTACTCTGGTGCTAGGTAACTGTCAAAGAAGGAAAGTTAAGAGGCAGATTCATGGAATGATGATAGTTTTAAGGAAAGGTGTAAATAACCAAGTTAAATACCCAAATGTCCCAGCAATATCCCCACCCGCCACGTGCTGCGAAGTACTTGAAGCCAAGCTGGCGAATCCGAAATCTGAGAGCTGAACCAGTATAATTCAATGTCAATCAGGAAGCTTTGGTAATTGCATCTGTGAATGAACTCAGATTATGAATGAGATGTCGCAGTACCTGTGGCTCAAAATCATCTGCCAAAAGAACATTAGAAGATTTCACATCCCGGTGAATCACTTCTGGCTCATGAGTATTATGTAGATAGTCTAACGCCTCGGCAACACCCACTGCCACCTTATATCTCTCCAGCCAGCCAAATTTTTTTGCATCCTTTCTATTACCTGATTCAAGAAATGAGAACAATCACAATGGATATTTATCTAGTATGACTGTATAAGAATCCAGCGGGAATATCAAATGTAGTTTATTTACCATGAAGGTTCTCTTCAAGGCTTCCTCGTGGTAGATAATCGTACACCAGCATCAAATTATTATTCTCAAAACAGAAACCAAAGAGAGATACTATATTTTTGTGATGTACACTGGTAATGACTTCAATTTCCAGTATAAATTCCTTCAACACATCCAGACAAGGCTTTAATATTTTGACAGCTAATTCCCTCCCATCTGGTAGATCTCCTCTATAAACATAACTATTACCACCTTCTCCAACCAAGTTCTCTGGAAACAGAAAAAGATGCATACATAAGCGAATGATGACAAGTCAGACCAAAACTAAACTCAAGTTAGAATATGGAAAGGGGCATACCGGATGCAAAGTTTGAGGTAATTGACAAAACTTCATCGTATGTGAATAATCTACATGTGGAGGAGTATTTTTCATGTAGACCCTCCAGCTCTTCTGGAATGTTGTTTGATCCAGTGCAGGGAGAAAGAGGAGACTGCATAAGCTCAGAACCAAATCGTGAAATGGAAACATCTTCACCGTCAATACTAGAAGAGCAATCTTCATCACAACCAGAGTCACTCCGTTTCCTATCCAGATAGATTACAGTTTCTGAATGCCGACCTCGCAGCCTGGAAACCCACTGAAGTACAGTCTTCTTAGCAGAGACTTTGGGCCAACTTTTTCGATTGCCATAAATCCCGCGAAGAAAATGCCAACCTGGTCCTGACTCAAGGGAACCAGAATCAGTCTCATTTGTTTGTACTGGCACTAAAGCCAACGAATTGTCTACACCTAAGCTTTCAGAAGACTGCAATGACGAACTACGACTAGTTCTTGTCCAGCGTGAGCTCGTTCTTGCCGGGCTAAAACTGTTTCCAATCTTTGCCGCTTCAATAGCAATGTCCGGTGATCCACAAACTAAAGAGGGAAGATTCATTTGTGGACCATCTGCACCTGCAAAGCCCAAACCTTTACTTTAAGAACTAACAGAGAACAAACCAAAGTAGACATCAACAGTTGACAAATCAGAAAAACTTGAACCACAACCATTAATATGAGAAAGTAATGGGGTAACATACCACTGGTATTAGGTACTCTCCGGAACATAATTTTGCCACTTTTAACAGCAAAAACAGAGACATCCTTGGCAAGATTCCTGGCACAATACTTGGCTAGAGAAGCTGAAGAACGGATAGTGTGATGTTTCCTAGAGGAACCAACGATTAAACTTGTAGCTCCACACGATTTCACTTCTTGTACAAGAACTTTCCTAGCTGACTTCCCTCTGAAAACCTTTAGCTTCAAATCTACCTGTTACACAACATCAATCAATTTCAGTAAAAAAAAAAAAACACTTAAACCCATCCTAAAAGCAGCTTAGAATCGTCAGAAAAAATCATAAAGTGAAAAACTTTAACCTGTTTTAAGTTGCAGAAGCTTTCATAAACACCAAGCATAGTATCAAAATTCCTAACCAACGAAATAAGCGACGTTGAGCCCTCTTCACAAACCAAAACCAACCAAAGAAAATCAAAATTAGAAACAAAAATCTCAGATCGAATACGAAAATCGAGGGTTTAGAACAAACCTAGAGAGTAATCGAGAACATGAAGAGCAACGATTCGATCTCCAGGACGCGCTACATTCACCAAAGACCATGTAAGAACCTCTCGACTCCATTCATCTGGCTTTACACCCACAATTAACAACGCCGAACCTTCCGCCACCGTTTCTTCGACTCCGGCGACTTTGCCTCCTCCTCCTTCTCCGGTCGGATTCATCTTAAGCAAAGACGAATCCTCCTCCACACACACACTCTCTGAATGTATCAACTATCTCTCTCAGTAGCAAATCTCTTCTCTTTTCTTCTCTTCTCTCTCTCTCTCGTGTGTGTGTGTGTGTGTGTGTGGTGGTATTGTCGTATAGCTCTTGGGCAAAGGGAAAAGAGCGAATCACGTTAACTGTCTCCGGGAGAAAAAGTGGGAGAGAGAAGAGAGAAGAGATGTTTTGTGTCCTCTGGTTTGAATGAATCTCAGCCGTTGATTTACCCTATTGATCCGATTTTTACTACTATTTAATTTTTTTTGTTAGTTTAATTAATTTAAATTAAAGAGGAAAACTAATTAAATTAAGCACGAGGAGGAGAGAATAATAATGGACATCGTTATCATTCATTCTCTTTTACGGGACAAAAGAATCTCTTTCTCTTTATTTTTATTTTTCCAACTTCTTCTTCACTTTGGATTCTTATTTATTATCGCCTGATTTTTCTCATGTTTTATCATTATATATACATGTCATTATCATATATATATATTTCTCCTCCCCAAAAAAAAAAAAAAATTCATGCATGTTTCATTTTTCAATAAAGTGTAGCTAACTCTCTCATATTTTTCATTTCTTTTTTTCTTAAAAATTGGCTAAAAGTAGAGGACAAAAATAGATCCGTCGGTGAAGAGACCTAATGTTTTAACATAAGAAAGAAGAGACCTAATAATGTTTCTCGTTATATACATATGTGGTTTTAATTTGCATTTGTCTTGATTCTTTAATCAATACTTTGTTACATAACGTATCAACACACTACATTCAGTTATGAAAAAAAAAAAAAAGCGAGATTATATAAATACAAATAGAAATTATCATTATTAATTTGTGAAAAGTATGTTTGGATGTGTTGAAACAGATAATTTCTAAATTAGACTACTAAGAATTATCTTATGATTTACATCGGGGGGATTTGAGAACGACAAAGTAAAAACAGAAACTAAAATCATTCTCTAGATTTCGTCTTATATAAAGCATTGATTAATTATTACTAAAACTACCTTAGATGTTTCTAGCACATATTAAAGAGTATGATCGAGTTAGGTAATAAATATACCCCTACCAATAAAGATCTCGTAGTGATTTGAGTATTTTTAACGAATCTCAATTCTAACCATCATGATATTATCACTAAGATATTTATTCACATTTTTTTATTAAAGATATATTTATTCACATTTACTGTCGCAAAACGAGTCATCATCGACTCTTAAAGATGATCATCTCGATTATTCATATCCTATCCTTTCTTTTTGAATTTTCAGTTTAAAGAAAAGCAAAAAAAAAAAATAGCTTTCAAACTTTCATGGCGTACGAATAAGTCTTAGTATGACTCGAATCTATAGTCTGATTTAAAATCATATCCCTAGAGAAGTGAAGACCAAGAGGACTAATTATTTAACAAAATTAATATTGAACAAAAACAGATCCACATTAACTCACTACCACATAGCTAAAATTGAAAACTACAAAGAGATTAGATGATATAATTTGGTGGGCACGATTCAGAATAGCACGTGAAATATTTTATTTAATAAAATCCAGCTAACCGTGATCTACGCTAATTATGATTTCCAGAGCAAAAGTGACCGTAT